GGGGGAGGGGGCGGGGGCACGCTGGAGGTGCTGCGAGTCAGCGGGGACCAGGGGCGGGCGGTCAACCTGGTGGCAGACGCGCTTGACCAGGCTGTGGGCGGGTGGTAGCCGGCGTGCGCGTCCTGCGCGGCAGCGGCGCCTCCATTTTTGAGGTCGGGTGCAGGTTGATGGTCCCACCCTCCGACACCTCACAGGCTCCCTCGGGTGGCGGGCGGGGGCATCCGTGTGCCCCGCAGGCGTGCTGGTGCAGCTGTGTCAGGAGCTGGACTCAATGCTTTATCTGTTGCTATTCAATTGAGGGCGCGTGCATGTGCAAGCTCGCCGCGCGCCACCAACTGCGAACGCGGTCGGTGTCCCTTGCAGCGCCGCCCCTGGCTGGGCAAGCTGCGTGCGCGCCGCCTCAGTTGGCTGCCGCGTTTGTTGACCGCCGTTGACCGCCGCGCGCAGCCGCGCGAGCACGTCCGTTTACTTCACCCCTGCGTTCAAGGCCTGATACTCATGTCGCATGAGTCATGTGCAGCTGCTGCACTGGCTGCAGCGATCCCAGCCCCAGTGACGCACGCCTGCGAGAGGCGCTGCCCAGCTGGCTGCTGCCAGGCGCGTTATTACTGCCGTTGGGACGGACAGCGCTCTTGCAACGGCGCGAGTCGTGCAGGGTGATTGTGGTGAGCAGTCAGCAGTGCGGCAACCCTAAAACCGGATGCAAACCTCGAGGGAGCTGGGGCGAAGCGGGTCTAGTCAGGAGTCAGACGGCCTCGGGCGCCTGCGATGCGCCCATTTTCGGCCCGAGGTTGCATCAGAAATGAAATCGGACTATTCAAAAAGCCATGCGGGCAGCCCGCCGTCGCAAAGCGTCGGGGCCTGGGTGCTGCATGCCTCCGCGCCGCATCCATGCAAGCGCGGTGCGGAAGCAACGCCCTGCGCGGCCGCGGTGCCGACGCAGCAGCCCTGCGCCCCAGGCGGTCAAAAACGTGCTCCTGCTGTCCTTGCGTCAGCGTTCCCCAATCCCCAGTCCCAACCCCGCCGGCGCTTCGCTGGCCGTGCATGCAACATGCGGCACGGTGCGTTCATATGTGCCCGTGTGTGGGTGGTGCGATGCCCCAACGGACCCCTGTGCCCCTGCAAGCCGCGCTGGCATGCGGGGCACGAGAGCGCGCGGACGCAGGTGCAGAAGCCGCCGCGGGTGCATGGGGATTCAAGGGCTCACCGCCAGGGTTTACCTGCGGAAAAAAAGGAGCCCGGCCGATGGCGGCCTGCGCCTGCATCCAGCGCCCCCGCGGCACGCGTGGAAGCGCAAAGCCCCGCTGCCCCGCCATATGGCAGCTGGCTGGCGGGGGATGGCTGCCGCGCGGCGGCAGCTAGAGGCATGATAGCCCGCACAAGCAAACCGTAGGAATTTCAAGGTCGGTGGCACGGCGCAGCGCGGCGCCATTTGGTCATCAGCTAAACAGCCGCGTCAGAGGCCGTAACCCCTGGACCAAACGCCGGCCCGCCATTGCCTTCGCCGGCGTCGCTGCCATACACGAGCGAGCGCGCCAGCCCGCCCCAATCGCCGCCGCCCGCCTGTGCGGTCGGCCGGCAGCCGGGGCGGCGCGGGGCGGGGTCGGGCAGGGAGCAGAGGGCACGCAAGGCGGAAGGCCGTGGCAGGATGGGGCGGAGTCGACCGCATCCCGGGATGGCTGGAGGCGGCGCGCCGACGTGCAGCGGAGCGGCGGCGCGGCGGCGGGCGCTGACCGCCCGAGCCGGCTCAGCAGGTCCGCCGCTCACACCTGCGCGGGCGCCGGCGGGGGAGTGGGCTCCTTCGCCGCTGGCGGCGGCGTCGGCTCCTTAGCTGCCGGCGGCGGCGTGGGCTCCTTGGCAGCCGGCGGCGGCGTGGGCTCCTTGGCAGCCGGCGGCGGTGTCGGCTCCTTTGCAGCTGGTGGGGGCGTAGGCTCCTTTGCAGCCGGCGGCGGCGTAGGCTCCTTTGCTGCCGGTGGCGGCGTGGGCTCCTTGGCCGGCGGCGGCGTGGGCTCCTTGGCCGCCGCCACGGGCTCCTCGGCCGGCCGGGCGCTGGGCAGCGCCGCCTGGCCGACCCCGAACCCCGCCGACACCAGCTGCGCCGCCCGCGCC